GCGTATACACTACATACAGCTTAGAAACATTTTAAAAGGGCAAATGTTCCAAACTAAATGGGAAAGTTATTTGTGTGTGCTTATGTGGGTTAGCTGGAAAGCAGGCGAAAGTGCATCTTAACAAAGATTAAAGAAAGGTTTTCTGGCAGCTGTGTTTGGAGCAGGTTCTGAAAGAAGTAGTTCCTTTCTCCTTACATGCCTCCAAACCAAGGAATGCTGGGAATGCACCACACTTCGAAACAGAAGGTGATACTAGAGAGGAGAAAGCACTGTGTTGGCCTTTATCTCTGGAAGTGCTTCACGCTGTCTCAGTAGCTCTCCAGTCTCCGTGGGTGAGCGGTGCTTACAGCGTGTCACCGGGGTCATTGTGGCTGTGGGATGTCAGTCAGTGGCCCAGGGAGGCATTTCCTATCACTTAACACCAGACAGCTGTCTTATAGTATACATTTGTGTCTCAATTCTGTTGCATGTAAAATGGGACATTTAAAGCAGTCATTTTCAACCACTCGTTGAGATCGTCAGGTCACATTAACATCATCTACAAAGGAAACACCCATCACTTCAAAACAATAACACAGACTATCTTGTTTGCGTAAACAAACAAAAGATGTCCCACAATTCATTCCATGCCAAATATCCCCTTCATGGAGTTATTATAAATCACCCGCATGTTGAGTCCAAGTGATAAATGTTGTTCTCCACCCCCTTGTAAATATTTAGCACATTATTGTCTTGCAAGCATATTATTTAAGCCTGAAGTGACTGCCTTTTTTGACCTTCCAAACACTGATGCATGGATGTTGATATCAATCTTGAATGATAGTTTGATGGTAAATGATGAAGCCCTAATTATAGCTCACAGGGGGTAGGTGTGGGATTCTCACAACATTTTGATTTGAGTGTCACGTAAAGAGTAAAAAACATTTGTATTTATTGTTTATCTGTTGTAGCACTTTATTTGCCCTCATGTATCTTCATCCTGACCTGGTCATTTCTAATCTCATGTAAAGGACCTTTTGGATTTGAAAGAATGTATTTAATTTTCTTAGATAACCAAGTTGAACTTAAACTTAAAGTGACACTAGGGTCCACTGGCACTCCTTTTCACCTATTTGAACATGTTCGAATATATATAAAAAACAAGATAAAGTTGGATAATGCTTTTTGTATCTGTTAAAAGTCTTTCACAAAATTGTGAGCTGAGAAAATTGGCAAAGAGAAGTAAAGTAAAGAGAATTGCTGTTTACTGAACTTTTCTTTCCTGCATCTTGGCTCAGATGTTCTGGCCCTTAACTCCAATTATATCAATGCAGATATTTGTTTTTAGCATTTTCTGTAGCACTGTCGTCTACAGCGGCACCACGCGCTACATCCTCCCCAAACGGAGATCTTTTGCTCTTTCGATTCCCTCTGTAGTCTTTTCAAGTTTATTACACACATCAAGCGTCATTCAGGATGACAGTTAAAAATCAATCTTGAGAGAGTGTGTGTTTCTCAATGTCGAGTAAAGCAGCTCCAGAGCCACTATTTCAAGCATACTACGTCATCGAGTGCCGCCGAAGGACTGTTGCAATGTCCAGCATACTTGGAATTCTACCGAGCCCGGCGTACTTCGTAGCGAGAAATTTCGAGGCTGCACATGTGTAGACTCCGCGGTCTTATAATCCCCACAATGCTTTGCGCACGGACCAATTTCCCCAAATCTGTGGCAGAAAATGTAAGGCGGGGCCTCTCATATGATGCACACTTGCTCGCCTGTTCCACTCTTCGTTTTCCGAATGCCAGGAAGTATTCTTGCCTCGCTTCTGAAGCAAGTGACTCGGAAGACGTGCTACCAAGCAAGCGTACTCGACATTGAGAAACACCCAGAGTGTGTGTGTGGGTGTTTCTCAATGTCGAGGAAGGCTGCTCCAGAGCCACTATTTCAAGCATACTACGTCATCGAGTCCCGCCGAAGGACTGTTCCAATATCCAGCATACTTGGAATTCTACCGAGGCCAGCGTACTTCGTCGCGAGAAATTTCGAGGCTGCACATGTGTAGACTCCACGGTTTTAAAATCCCCACAATGCTTTGCGCACGGACCAATTTCCAAATCTTTGGCGGAAATGGCCAAAATGGAAGTAAATCCATACCTGATTTACTGGTATGCTGCCTTCCTCTCTAGTAGAGAGCAACTTGTGAAGGTTAACAAAACCCTGTCATCTGCCATCACAACCAATGTAGGTGCCCCCCAGGGCTGCGTGAGTTCAGCTGTGCTCTTTACTCTCTACACTGATGATTGTCGTACCAACACACCAAATCAAGTCATCATTAAGTACTCTGATGATACTGCAATAATATCTCTGCTCAGTAACACAGACGACCCTGAACTGCACCAACAGGCTGTAAATCAGGTGGTCGAGTGGACTGATAACAATGCTCTTGAGATCAACACCACGAAAACTGAGGAAATCATTTTTGGCTCACCATCTGACTCCCATAAATCCCCATTGTCATCCATACAGATGAGATCAAGCAGGGAGTTTCATACAAATACCTGGGTGTAATGATTGACCATCTGCTGCCATGGAAGGACCACATTGATTATCTGTGCAAAAGGATAAAACAAAGAATTTATTTTCTCCGCCGTCTGAGGTCTTTTGGGGGGAGCAGAGAAATTCTTCTGTTGTTCTTTACATCTGTGATCTTGTCTATTCTTCAGTACTGCAATACTACCTGGTACAAATGTCTGTCAGTAGCTTTAAAATCAAAACTGCTCCACCTGTTAAAAATCTGCTCAAAGATTGTTGGTCAACCCTGTCAGAGACTCTATGACTCAGCCTATCATAACAACCTAGTGAGGCTGTCCAACAACATCATCTCCGACCCAAACCATGTTCTGAACAGTGAATATGAACTGCTACCATCTAATCGGAGATACAGGGTCCCACCATTCAATAAAGTCAGACTGAAGCACTCCTTTGTGCATCAGTCTGTCCTCACAGTAAACACAGAGCTAAATCCCAGATCAAATGCACGCTGAAGGCTCTTTGAGCAGCTTTTCTCTCACTGATTGTGCTGTTATGTTAAATGTTTGTTGTTTGTGTTTCATGTATTTGTGTCTGGATATTTGTCTGTTGATCTTGGACATGGAGCTGCTGTGACGCAAGTCAAATTTCAGACCTGATCTGACAAATAAAGTAATATCGTATCGTATTTCGTATCGTATGAAATGGCGCGCCATTTAAGGCGGGGCCTCGCATATGACGCACACCTGTTAGCCTGTTCCACAATTCTTTGTTTTCCGAGGCTAGGAAGGATTCTTGCTTCGCTTCGGAAGCAAGTGACTCGGAAGACATGTGCTACCAAGCAAGCGTCCTCGACATTGTGTGTGTGTGTGTGTGTGTGTGTGTGTGTGTGTGTGTGTGTGTGTGTGTGTGTGTGTGTGTGTGTGTGTGTGTGTGTGTGTGTGTGTGTGTGTGTGTGTGTGTGTGTGTGTGTGTGTGTGTGTGTGTGTGTGTGTGTGTGTGTGTGTGTGTGTGTGTGTGTGTGTGTGTGTGTGTGTGTGTGTGTGTGTGTGTGTGTGTGTGTGTGTGTGTGTGGTGTGTGTGTGTGTGTGGTGTGTGTGTGTGTGTGTGTGTGTGTGTGTGTGTGTGTGTGTGTGTGTGTGTGTGTGTGTGTGTGTGTGTGTGTGTGTGTGTGTGTGTGTGTGTGTGTGTGTGTGTGTGTGTGGTGAAAGCTGCAATGCAAATCTGTTTATTTCTATCCCTGTTGTTGCTGCTCTCTGGATACAGTGGCAGTCTTTGAAGTTGTTGAGAAATATCTTTGTAGAGAGATGTCTCATCAACTTCAATTTAAATATACCTTCATGTTCTGTCTGGATTAATTTCCTTTGTTGGTCTCTGAAGTGGGGGCCTCCAGCTGTCCCCATCTTAGCAGTGACGCCACCATCTAACTAAAAATAGGCGTTGTTGGTGAAATTGAGGCGAGGGCGGGTGTCACAGCAGAGCAGACAGCTACTGGTTAACGACCTGAGAAGGCCCCCACCTGTCACTCAAAGAGGCCACATCCCTGATAACACATAACTCTATGCCTGGATATAATTCAAATGGGTTTTATAACCCCCACCACCACCTACCTACAGTTATTGTGACAGGGAAAAGGGCTTAAGAGAACATGCTGTACACATGTGTATTTCTGCTATAAATATGGGGATTTCAACATGGAGGTTTTTGGGGATTGCTCCCTTTTGGTGGCAGCCTCAAGTGGCCAGTTGATGAACTGCAGTTTAAGGCACTTCATCATTAGCTCTACCCCTGCTTTGACCAGACACATCACATTCAAAAAGCCCTGCACTGGGCCCTGCAGCCTCTAGACACACTACAATGTTCCCTCACATTATCTTGCTCATTGATTTGCCCACACTAAAACTCTTGTGGTAAACTCCAAGAAGGTACAGAAATATCTTCTCATCAGGCAGAATGGCAGGCTCACTTAATATCTTCTGTCACAGTTGGGTTGCAAATGATGATCATTTTCATTAGAAATTGATTCATCATAAAGCTTAAAGATGTTCAAAAAAGCTGTCTTCAGATGTCTTTTTTTAACATTACAAGATTCCATTTCCATGATAAACCAGCAAAAGGAAACACCTTGAAATGTGAGAAGCTCTAAGTAAGAAAGGAATGTTTTCTTGAAAAAAGCAGATTTTCTGTCAATTGGCTAATTATAGAAGCTCACATTTACGGGAAAAAACTAAAAGCATATCCAGCTCGCTTTGATGTCAAGCCAGAGCTGGAAGATGAGTTGATTGGTCCATAGAATGAAAGAACATCTGCAGCTATTTGATAATAATCGCTTGCGTGATTATATGAACTTCTTTAAGTGAAATCTCCTGAGTTCTGGACTGTTAGACAAACAAGCAATTTAACAATGGGTTCTGAGAAATGTTGATGGTCTCGTTTCCCATTTGATTCACCAACAAAATAATGACCATATCAATGTGTGTGTTTGCTGTAGGGGCCTGAGACCTGGACGTCACCTGCAGGACGACGATTTTGTGCCTGAACTGGCTAACATCCATCCCAGAGAGAGACCTGACTGGGAGGAGACAATCAGTGCCATGGTGAGACACACACACACACTCCTCAAACACGGTCATTGTGATGTTCTCGTTTCTTTTTTGTGAGATGGAGATGGCCCGTGTTTTGAATAAATACAGTATAACCATCAATGTCCTGCTTTCATCGCTGCTGGTAACCTGAAGCTCTGAGTGTCATTGTGACATGTCAGATGCAGTCAGGGGGCGCCACCAGGGATGTTGGGCCCCATGAAAAGATATCACATTGGTTACTTACATTTTTTTCTTCTTAATGTTCTAAAATAGTCTGGGTCCCTGTCAGTCACGGGCCCTTAGAATCCTCCTAACTTTTCACCCCCACATTACGGTGCCCGTGGATGCAGTGAATACACCAGATGCCATAATTTGCTTATTTGCTACCCGCCACCATATTATCAGTCTGTTTCCAACCCAGTGGATTGATTTGTCTCTCTGCTACTGAAACTGAATCTCCTCTGTTCCTGAAACACGACCACACATTCGTTAGTAATGCAGAGAACAGTTGCCGTTCCAAAGCCCCCCCCCTTCCAAACCCTTTGCATAGATAGTCATCTTCCTGTCTGGGTACTCCTGTGTCATCTATTTATTTCAGTCCCTCCACACTGGATTTCATTCAGCAGACAGAATCATTCATTATTTCCTTCCCTCCCATCTTTGGTATGGGTTTCGCTTCTTGCATCAACAGCACAGTGAAAATGAGGCCGTCTCCATGGTAACATGCCGAGCCACCCGCGGTCGGCATGGTTGGCCCTATCGCAAGTGTTCACTTCGATCGGGCAACAGAGAGAAAGAGACACCACATTCTCACCAGCCTGATGAATATTGATCACAGAGGCGGGGCTTTAATACTGCATGTCTGCTATTCTTTGTTCAATATTTGATATGAGAGGGACTCGGGACCGGAGGATCATCCATTATGAATGTCTCCGGTGGTTCAGGGAGGGATGACAAGAGCGAAGAAACTTAGTGCAAGCTGTCGAACAAATAGTTTCCATTTAGTTGTAAAGCCTACATATTCGGGCCGTGGCCAATTATTGGTTTCATTATTGATTATATTGCCAATCATTTATTTTAAATTGATTGATGAATTGCTTCCTTCTCTATAATTTCTGAAATTAGAGAAAAATGGTTATCACAATTTCTATTTGTCATAAAATATCTTGTTATGTCTGACTGAGATATTCACTTTATTAGAACATCAAACCTAATAGATCAGGAATAGATCGACTTTATTGATCATCTGGAACCAGAGCTTTCTGGGTTTTGTTCTTCTGTCGATCGATGAATGTATATGAGAAGTTAATGTGACATCTTGGATAGAAGTGGCGTACACTTGCTTGTCCACATATGTATCTCTTGTATTTCCCAATTCCATACGTTCATTTTAATTTAATTCATATTAATATTGTTCAACGTCTGCTGTCAGAGAACTGAAATATTGCAAACTGAAGATATCAACTGAATAAGATCAGTTTGAAGCAAAGTTCAGTCCCCAGGCTCTGTAAATGAAGGGTGCTCTGATCCATCGACTACTGATCAGTTTCGCTGATTTCTCCCTAAATACTTTCATGAGTGGTCCCTAGAAAAGGCTGATCAGAAGCGCACATTAGATTACGCATCAATTCTTGAATGAAAACATTTTCTATAATCCTCAGCCTGATTTCTCCCCCGCTCTTTCATTTGCTCTGAGAGTGACACAACTTGTGGAGATCTGTGGCTAAATTACATTTCTTTCTTCATTACTTATTCTATTAAATTGTTAGAAATAAAATCTGGAAATAACAACCAGATTAGCAAAGCAGCGTCTAAGAATTTTGAGTTTGCATCTTGAGTCCAGCTCCTTAAGCACAGGACTCTGTGTTGACATCAATGATGCTTGTTGCTCTACATGTGTCCTATCATGCAAAATGCACTTTTTTGATGTCTTTCATACATAAATATGTGTCCCGGTGTGTCAGGGAACTCACAAAGTGTCAGAAAATAAAACCCTCTCTCTTTTCCTCCGTACCCAAATCTCTAAAAACGGGGGTACAACGGAGCTGATCCAGAGTTCGATATGACGTAATATCGGAAATGTGTGCTGGCTTTACGCCCACGGCCCTATCAGAAACGGCCCTATCAGAAACGTCGCTATGCGACGTGTTTTGGACGTAATATGGTCTTTGTTTACATTGGCAAGCATCGCTAACAGTCAGAGCTAACCTGTACTGGAGAGAGTATGTGTAAAAAAGCAGGAAATAAAAAAAGGAACTCACCTTGTAGTAAACTTCAAGTGGTTTGGAACATAATATGGCGTTTAATCACGGCAGCATTTAGCTGAGTATCTGCAGGCAGAGAGGAGACCTCACTGCTTGCCTTGTCGTGCTCAAATGGGGGCGGGGCCATCAGCTACAGACCCAGAATCAGCACTTCTCTAACAGGGCTGAAACAGGCATATGAGGGATGTTTAAAATGCACGATCTGTTTTGTATTTTGAGCAAAACACATCATAGACATGTTTTTTATATATTTGTATATATCTGAGACCCATAATATATGCTTACAAATAGCATGATAGGAGACCTTTAATGTTGAGGCTGATGTTTAAAGATGACAGTCTCCTAGCAGATTAACAATTGTTTTTGTCGCAGCTGTTTACATTGCTCTTGACACACACAAAAAATGCACCACAAGAATGCACCCATTTCATATTGTAAATGGACTGAAATTGCATTTAAATGTACAACCCTGTGTTGCAGAATGACATGAAATGAAAATTGTAATCGGAGCAAGCTCATTGTTAATGTTTTGTTGACAGCTGCATTTAACTGAATGAAACAAACTGTTTATTTAAAAGAGCTTTTAATATGCTGTAAAATAACATTGGGATAGCTTTGGCTGCAGAACCCTGTCATCATAAATGAATACTTAAATAGCTTTAACAATGTAACCCCTGGCCTACAGTAAGCAGCCTGGTGCTGTGTCAACAAACGTGCACTGCTTTGTCATCAATTCAATATCATACAACTTTGTTATTCAATTCACCACTCATTTCCTGGCTCCTCTGATTCAACTTTACCACTTCACTGTCTCATATGTTTAGGTCATCAAACAGTTGAAGACATCTCATCTTACAGTGAGCAATCCGAGCTGTTTACAACCAACAGAACAGGATCTACTGCTATGTGACTGCCTCTGCTGTTCAAACAGACAGTGCACAGATGTATTTGTATGCAGCAGCACTGACGTTTGTGTGTTTTTTTTTTTTAGGCGAGGAGCGCAGAGATCCCTGAGCTGAGGACGGATCCCCTCATGCGCTCCTGCAGCAGCAGCACGGCCAGCATGAAGGTCAAGAATGTCAAGAAGTGAGTGAAGTACTTTATGGAAACCGTAAACGCTATGAGATGGTCAGATCAATAAAGTTTGAAAAATAGTTACTCTATTTCTAATATATACTATTTTTGACTATAAGCTCTGGCGTGCTTGTGCTTTATATTCCATGTGTTTATAATGAATAGGGCTGAACAGTTTGAAATAAATAACCAATTACAACTATTTGTGAAATTATTCACATTTTGGCGATTACATTTTTTTAAAGCTTAATTCTCATCATGACATTATCTGAGAAATGATTTAAAATAGTTATGGTGTGTTTTCTTTAAGAGGATTTTAACCAAATAAATATGTTTTGTTGAGTCTCAATAAAAATGGTATTTTAACACATATTCACAAAAATGGTGCTTCTTGCTATTTGAATATTGCACTAGTCAATATTGCCATTTAGATAAAATGTGAATGAATTGTGTAGCCCTACTAATCAAAATCATTTTAATACATTTAATGTATTACAAAAGGAAGGCGAGAAAACACACATTCACACACCTGCCTCTCTCCTCCTCTCTTTGTATCGACTTCTTCCTCCCTGAGTCTATTTCTGTGTCTTCCTCCTCCACTCTGTTCCTTGTTGTAGTCATACGCACTCTGAGGTGTTCTCATGAGCAGGGGATGAACTTCCAATAACCTGTGTACTGTTGTGTTTTCAGACTTTGTTTCACCAAGGGCCACTTCCCCAAACTGGCAGAGTGCGCTCACTTCCACTATGAAAATGTAGACTTCGGCACAATTCAGGTAAATAACTTTTCTCACTTCATTTCTTTGTGGGGACGTATTTCCTAAATTAGGTCACCACATTATTTAAAGTGTACTCGCATACATCCAGAATGGAAGCAAGGGCTAGGCTGATTGCTTTTAAGATTCCAATGGAACTGGCTGTATGAAGCGTGTAGACAAAGCTTTGAACAGTGCTTTTTTCCAAAGACTTGGGGTGTCTCTAGTTATTCTCCTGCAGTGTTGGAAAGATCCTTTTCACAAAGAAAGAAGTATGACTCGTCTCTTCTAATTGACGTCAGGAAATTCCTCCTTTTTAGCTGTTGCTGTCACGGAGATGGTTGATGATTCTGCATTCGTTTGATATCTTCCTCCACAGCACGACCTCATTCCTTCCTGCTTCACACACCTCAGCTGACTGAGGCTGTGGCTGACTGTAACTTGTAGGTGTGACAGCTACTTGCCTGCAAATCAAACAAGTAGCTGATGTAGGCTCTTTGGATTATTATTCATATTGTTCAAATGTCATCAAAATACCTGCCGTCGGCTCACAAGTATAGAACTGTGAACTTTCACACATTTCATCCTGGCAGCAGCACTTTGGTGCAACTTTCTCTCACATCCTTTTGCCATTATAGAGCTTTTCATTTCCATTCCCTTAACTATGTTTGATATCTCCAAATATGTGTTCCCAAGCATTGAAATACCGTTATCAGCTGAACTTGGAAAAAAGCAATTTGAACGTCTTTAAGTTGATAAAATGTTATATTGTAGATTCAATGAAATGGACACTACCATTTGTACATGTTAAGTTGAGTTTACTCATCAAAAGGGGTGTGGAAATCTTTTTATTTTGTCTTCTGTGGCTCTGGGAGGAGCTCTGGAAACCGAACAGAGTCTGAATCACAGCCTGAAGCTATGTGATATAAAGGAAGTGGGTGAATTGTATTATGGGAAATAACGGATGTTGGAGTACTTTACAAATTGTACTAAATAGACTTTAGATAGATTTGTTCTGTTGATTACACTGTAAAGGATGTGGAGATGGCTAACTGGTTTTAAATGAACTTTTGTTGTAGCAGAACTATAGCATTTCCTCATGAAGATTGCACCTTTCTCACATAGACAATGCTGTCATTGTGTTAAGAAACCAGTAGAGGTCAGCAGTCAGCTTAATGTGTTCCACATAGCTGTTGGAAGGGCAGAGCATTTCATGAAAACCTTACCACTACAGTATGAGCTTCCCCTGCAGCTTGTTTGTCTATATAACAGCAAAGGTTGCACCACAGAAACCATCTATCCTTTCCCTGCATGCATTAAGGAAACAGTTGAGTGTCTGCAGTCAGTAGATTCTCCTTGAGTAATGCCAGCTGTGCTCAAACTGCCACGGAGCAGACTGTATTACCCTTTGTGCTCGTCTTTTTGCTTTCAAGTAGCCCCGTCTTTCTGTTTTGCTGCTCTTTTGTTTTACTATTCAGCACGACTCCTGCCTCTTCTCTCGAGTCGATAGAGCTCCGAGTGAAAATGAACATCTTAGTTGTTGTTGTTGAGCGATTCAATATTCTGTGTTTGTTCCTGCTGTCAATCCGTGCATCTTGTCTCCGCCCAGCATGTTTGTCTGTTTAATGAAGTGGTCTTAAATGTATTAGGCCCAAGTCATTCTGACATGCTATAAATAAATACTATAAATGATGACATTGATGCTTAGTTGAAATACGATATGTAGTACTGCCAACTGTAGGTTCACCTGGTAAAGCTTAGGATGTTGTTTGTGTTAAATGTCCACCAGTAGTTCTGCATTCTACATGGAGCCTTACAGACTGAGTGCAGGGTACTGAACTGAGGCAGGGTTAGTCCTTCTGCTGGAAGACATATTCTTTCGTTTCCATAATAAAAAAAACTTTCCACAGGAGAATTTGAGTCAGGCAAAGTTTTGTTGTGGAAACATTAGGATCTCACAGTCGCAGAAGGCCAAAGGGGGGAGCCTGCATTCAGAGCTGTGGCAGTATTTTCTTCTGATTCAGTTTTTTCCGTATTATTCGCAAGTGTTGCACATTTTCTGAATTTCTGGTAAGAAAGAGGTTAATGTGTCGGATTCTAACATTGTTTTGCGTTTCCTTAGCGCTGATCTACTATGGGAACTCACTATGAATTAGTTAGAACAACTTGCATCACACAAACAGTGTATCATATGTGTCCGGGGGTGTGAGTACTACACAGTATAATGCAGGGTCCCTTAAAGGAAACAGAGTAAGGCAGTACTGCATGTTATTGGGCTGTATGCCTCTGTAAGTTCAGATTCAGAACTCTAGAAAGTGTGGCGGGTGGTCAGTTGGCTGGTTTCAAGGTCAATCAATCAATCAATGTTTATTTATGTAGCCCAATATCACAAATGTTACATTTGTCTCAGTGGACTTCACAGTTTGTACAGAATATCAGTATGACAATACGACACCCTCTGTCCTTAGACCCTCACATCGTACAAGGAAAAACTTCCGGAGAAAACCCACAGTTTAAAGGGAAAAATGGGAGAAACCTCAGGGAGAGCAACAGAGGAGGGATCCCTCTCCCAGGACGGACAGACGTGCAATAGATGCCGTGTGTAAATTGAAAAGATAATACATTTGCAACATAATAGGAAGATGAATCCACGAGGATATCCATCCAGGACCTATGATCCAGAACCACAGCCACGACTGAAGATCCAGGACACAGGACCGCAGGATCATCCATGACTCCGGATCCCGGCGTATATAGACACCAAAAAGAAAGACATTTGGGGAAGCTGGGTTAATCGGAACATGAGAGTACACAGGTATGGACAGAGAGAAGGAAGAAGTAAGATGTCCCCCGACAAACTAAGCCTATATCAGCAAAACTAGGGGCTGAATCTAATCAGCCCTAACTATAAGCTTTATCAAAAAGGAAGGTCTTAAGCGCACTCTTAAAAACGGATAGGGTGTCTGCCGCCCGAACACAAACTGGAAGCTGATTCCACAAATGTGAAGCTTGATAAGAAAAGGCTCTGGCTCCCATTGTACTTTTAGAGACTCTAGGAACAACCAACAACCCTGCATTCTTGGAACGCAATGCCCTAGTAGGACAGTAGGGTATAATGAGTTCTTTAAGGTAAGATGGCGTCTGCCCATTAAGGGCTTTGTAGGCGAGAAGAAGAATTTTAAATTATATCCTGTGTTCTATAGGGAGCCAGTGTAAGGCAGCCAGAACAGGAGTAATGTGGTCCCTTTTCCCAACTGTGGTTAGTACACGAGCTGCAGGTCAAGGTCACTGTGACCTCACAAAACACCTTTTTGGCTAGTAAACTAGAGTACTACTAACAAGCACCTCTCTGCACAGTACTGTTGCAATAAGCTGTTGTGTTTCTTTTGGCTTGTCAAACGTCTGTGGACTACATGTTTTATTATTGTTTCTTCAATAACTAGATCATGGATGGAACAGCTGTGCAAAACACTATCACTGTTTAGTAGACTGTAGAAAATACAATGATGTCATTTTGAATATAGTACTATAATAGTCCTTAGTGAACTTGTTGACCCCGTCCACATGCTGTTTACATTGAGTTGCAGACGCACTGTTTGTTCTCAAACAGACATTCGTCTCCATTAACAACCATGTGTTTCTGATAAAGAAGACACTCTTGAAATGTTGCCTACTTTTCCTTTGAATAGATTATTTAGTATTAAGACAACTGAATCACTTCTGACACTTCACTCTCCATAGCCTCTTCCACTGTGTGAGCCCTGCATGCTACAGTGTGCAGCCAGACACCAGGAAAACAACTTTATTGAATTGCGCACACCTCTCCCCCTGTGTCACTCGCTCCTGCTCTTCCATATGGTTTATCTACTTCCTAGCATTTTGTCTGATCTTGTCGCACATACACCACACGGAGGCTCCAGCTCTTACACATTTACTATTAATGGAGAGTTTAAAACCACACAAGTTGATGCTGTCTAAATACTATGGCTCCGTTTTCAACTACTTTTTAGTGTACAGTGATGTCAGACATGGTAAACGGGGAACCTCACTTAAAGACGTGCCTTCCTTATAGTTTCTTTACTGTGGTGTTTCACTGTGTGTTGGTCTGCAGGATGTGGAAAGTGTGTCTGTCCTTACCTTTAAAGTCAGTTTAACACCTGAACTGTGAGACAGAAATTATCACCAAACAGTATTTATATGTAAACATTTGCAAGCGAGGATTTTTTTTTTTAAACAAGATATGTCAGCCAAATTAACTTAACAACTTTTAAATAATCATAAAGTCATTCTTATGAATACATATCTTTAGAGATGCATCCTTTAAGTTGTATAAGTCATGCTACTTGACAAATAAAGTATCAAATCATTCAATTGACAGTCTTTGGACTATGTACTGTTTGTCAGACAACATAAGAAACCAAAAGACTTTAACTTCGACCAGAATAAATAGTTTTCTTATACTTTTACCTTTTTGTACATTAAACAATGTATCATGAATATATTTAGATTTTAGTTTTGCTTCCACTATGTTCAGGACCAAACAACCATACTGTAATAAATCCATCTGCTGTTCTTAAACTGATCATGAAGGGATCTTATACTGATCTATAAATGACATCCATTCATGTTTTTTATAACATGCAGTCTATTATTACCACGAACGCTAATGTCCGTTATGTCATTGCTTGTTAGTTTGTAAAAGATCTGTGCAAACAGGAATTGGACCAGAACTAAAATGCAAACAATGTATCATTATTTTCATTGATCTTGACCAACTTGACTAGTTGCTCCTGATGTCATGAGCAACTGTGTGTGAATGTCAGCTGGAGCAGTTGGCACCTTGTATGGCAGTCTGCCTCTGTATGATTGTGTGTGTGAATGCAGGATTTGTATATGTAAAGTGCTTTGAGGAGTCGTAAAGACTGGACAAAGCGCTATATAGAAATGAAGACCATTTACATGTGTTAGTTGCAGCCCTACTTTCCATAGATAAGCTACTGACTCAACCAGCAGAGCATTTC